GCTTGGTTCGAGTCACAGTGGGAACACTATCACTCACTGGGAATAACGGTACATCCAGTCCAAACAGAGAGACATGACTATACTGCATTTCACTGATAGACGCTATTAACCGATTACCTTATAACATTGTCAAAGAGCTGACATGTCAACAGAGATACAGTATTTAGGTCCGATATAAACTAATCAAAGTGAAATGCAAACTTGAACAAGTAACTTCATTCACTAAGGTGGCTAGAAAACAACTTGCGTATGTCGAATCCGGGACTTCTTTGATTTGTAAAGTTAGCTGAAGTAGGATTAGGCTGAAAAAGAGTTGAATGGCCTCATCAAAAAAATGGTATCAAGTCGTGAGGTCATTGTTTATTAGTCTAAGCTAAGTTGACTGTTTAATTGGTGCCAATGAGTTGCTAAGAATCAATTGTAGCAAACTTACCAAGGAGGTTGTAAGAACTATTGGACAAAATAAATGTGAATGCGATTTAAAACACTCTTACCTTCACTTCATTGTACAGCTTTCCGGATAAAATTGGTTCTTTATTCTTTAAGCCGATTTTAATATGCCTCCTAGAAATTTCTACACAAATATCACGACATTTGACTTGATGAGGCAGCTGTAATGAAAAGAAGCAGAAACTTTGTAAAAAATCAACGACTGAAAATACCATTAGCCACAGTAAAATAATGAAAATTATTTTGTTGGACGTTCCTATAGCATTTATCCCGTATTGGTTAACATATCATATTGAGGTGAGATATGACATGACCGAGATATCTAACCCAACTCAAGTAATCTTTACATCTTGCACAAAATGACCAGCACTATGGAGGAGATGTTAGCCAAACACACGCGTAGTCTCTACAACATCTGTAGTGGTTGTGTTTAGCATCTGTTTTATCCTTCGACAACCATGCTGGTGGAACACGTAGAACGGCCAACTGTTTAATTCTAGAGCACAATATTACTTCTGATCATGCAGCTTCAGCAGAAGCCTCATTCAGAGTCATATAAGATGAAATAAAACTTGTCATGGGATTTAAGCGATGTTGCAATCTATAAAAAAAACTTGAACTTTATGTCCAGAAACGTTTTTATCCAGTCTCTTTTACATACTATGGTCTTAGTGTAAGTTTTGGGTTTTTCATTTGTAGCATAATAAACCCTGCATAATCTCTGGCCCAACTTTCAATCCTCTCATCTTGTTTCTTAACAATTAACACTGTATATATAATTTCCGTTTTTTTATTTTCAGTGGACATTTTATTTTGAAGTAAATTTTGCAACTTTCGTAGGTCTAATTGACAAAATAAGAAGATATAGTCTGTTGTCGAAATTCTATAGTTTTCTTTAGATTGCAGAATATTAACACTATAAAGTTTGATTCGCTTAACACGGATTGAAAGGTGAGTATTATAGTACGTACACGATTCTATGTGGAAAAGTATATACCATTTTAAGTAAAAACGTACCCGGGTCGGGACTTTAATATCCACTTCACCTAAAGTTTGGTACCAACTATAATTTGGCAGGTCGGCTCCATTTCCTTCATTCGGTCTCAGTTTCCCCTTGTCCTCCTCTTCGTCTTCATCATCAGGGGAAGGGCCAATATTGATCGGCTTTTGAGTAGGACGCTCCTTATCAAGTGTCTTTGTTTCCTGGGAATCAGATTTATCTGATACTTGTTCACTGTTTCCATTCACTTGACTATTGGCTTTTAAAATAAAATAGAGAATATAAAGCAGGTATTAAAACTCACAAAAAGTATGTGAGAAGTGTTGATAATGACAAACTGGCACGTTACAAATGATAGTGGCTTTATTCTGGACGAAATGTCTACTCTGTATAGAGAATTCTCAGTGTAATTATTTGCATACTTCATTTTCATCCAGAATCCGCAAGTAAAGTATCAGTTATGTGACAAAGTGCTGTTCCATGGAAGCATAGATTAATACCGCCCCTTTATTTCGAAAAAATGTGCCCAGGTAGTTTGAAAATCAACAAAAAATGTGCGAGTATATTTTAAGACTCACAAGCACACCTGAATGGTTACCACAATAGGAATTAGAGAAGATATAATGCATTGTGTTGAATGGTAATTTAAATAACCACCCAGTGATTCAAGCAGGCTGCCGGAAGAAGTGTAAGACCAAACTAAAATAGAGCTTATCACAGAAGTGCATCAGATTGCACTGCAACATTTTGAAACAGTGGTACAAAAAGTGAACCGAGCAGTGCTACATATGCAAACTAAGTTAGATGAAAGAAATATAATACAAAGACTAATAGAAATTCCAAAATAGAATACGTCTACTTGATATAGCTCAAACTGATTGAGAATTACTATTACTAGCAAACAAATAAAACTATGTAACTTCATTATATCAAATAAACCCATTTAATATGGAATTACATTCTACAAAAATGCCTTTAATTGTCGAAAGGGATTGCTCTTTGAAATTAACTTTCAAAAACGGATGCCTCTGAGAATTTTAGTGACACATTGAAAGTCTTATACAAAAACGCAGCTTCTATAGTGTACAACCATCTATCACCATTATCAAAGAGAGGAGTTTGGCATGATGATGGGGATTACCAAAGGAAAATACCACACAGTTCAAAATGTTTGCAAGTTATACGAACTGAGTCTAATATATTTGCTGCTGATTTTGATGAACTGTAATATACCTATGTATTGAAAACACTTAGTAGATTACTACTTCAACATATACAAGTAGGCCATCACTGAAGCAGCGATTTAGTTTTAGGAAATAGGGAACGCATAGTACACCTTTTCAGACTGATACACAAATCTGTAACTAACCAGTCTTCTTAAACAGAATTATGTCAAGTCGTGTGTATGTACTGCGGCAACTACCCCCAACAAAGTCGAGCCCTATGAAATCATACATAGAGAAAGAGACCTTCATAAACTTATCTACCATAAGGTGGAATATAGGTGGAGTGTGGACACGCTTAATGAACATTTCCTACAATAGGCTCCAATCTGGCCCCAAATGTTCGAGTAAAGAGCGACTGTTATGTTACGCTATGTATCTCACAGTAAATGCCATGAAACTATCTGAACTTGATATTTGATATGCCGAAATAAGACAATGTCCCTATGTAATGTTATAATAATGTATGTATGGCAGGGAAAAACACTCACTTGTGCTTGAATCCACAGGAGGAACAAGGTTGGCTTCAATGACTTCTTTTTTCCTTTCAGCTCTTCGCTTGCGTTCACGTTCTTCTCGTTCTCGAAGCTCTTTTGTCTCTTGTTCATGGCGAGCTAAAGCGGCATCCTGTTTTTACACGAAATTACATAAAACATGAACAATATTCGGTTGTGTAGTAACAAGACATTGAAAAAATACAATAATACCTGAGAAATCCATAATCAACTACTTGGAGACACAATTGCATCAATCTTAAACAGTAGCCGGAGGGAGTTAATACAAATCAAAAAGACTGTTGGTGATATGGTTCAAAACCGTTCTAAGCGGTGCAAGCGAAATCACTTATTGTAATCTCCCAGATTCATTAAATCCTCATGTTTATCCATGCTTGTCTTTCTTTTGTACATTTTTGCTCCTTGTAGCCCTTTTGAATGTGAGCAACATGGAATATGGCAACCTGAACTGCTGCATTTCAATACAAAGGTCTATTAAAAAAACACTTAGTCCCTTTTATAAATTTGGATAGTGTTATTAGAATACGGAGACTATCTGAAAAATGTGATGCACTTGTGCAATAGTTCTACGTTGAAACTCAGTCAATGCATATCGAAATCCGAATACGGATCGCATAGGATTTCATAAATAGCACTAATACTAAACTGCAATTTATATAGCTGTACTGTCAATCAAGTTATATAAAGACATAATTTATCTCAAACATGTAATGCATTTACGCATTACGTTACGGACATTCTGATCACTCACGCACTTGTCATACACATTTATATAAAGGTAACAGCATAAATGATTATGATATGTCAAAATTTCAACAGGTTAAGGTCACAGGCAGGAAGTAGGAAGATGACGCAAGAATATAACGTAAGAAAAAGAAGAGAAGAGGATAATAATGTCAAGTAAATTAAACCTTGGTAATAAAGTTGTATCACAAAAGCAGAGTAATGACAAATAATTTTTGAACATATGAAACAGGCTTAAGTCTTTTCATGGCTAAGGTTTCAACGAATTTAAGCAAATAAACTGAGTCTAGATCTTGCAGTTAATTTCGGTGTATTGTACTACTTACTGAATGCATCTGAGAGGAGCAGTATATACTGAATTAATAAAGCATTCACACGTAGTATACATCAAAATACACAATAAATCAAAGCGGAAATATGATTACAAAACGTACACGATGTTTCGTAAAGTTTTCAAGAACTAAACGTCTGGCATCTTTTTCTGTAGCTCCAAAGAAGAAATCAGTTCGTCTGGATAGGAAACCGAAGAAAGCGTCCAACAATCCCTGTATTCCATTATCACAACTTTGTGCAACACTCAAAAACACATTATCATACTCCATTTTCTAAGAACTATAAAAGACAGAGAAAACTAATAACTTCAGCAACCTTAAAGAAAATCAGAACTCGAAACAAATAGCTAATTTATATTTGGTAGAAATGATCAGAAGCCATTAATAGCACGTAGGGATGAAAAATTATCATCGCTAGTTTTGAATGCACTGATTGTTTCAGAAACCAGCGTCACTAAATCAAGCCAGCTGTTAACAGCGATACGTAACTTTCGTAACTGTTTATTTCTATCACTAGGAGTGATGGGAGCAGTGAATGTGCAAATGAGACTAGAGCCATCTTGCTTTAACTTTTCTTTCACCGTAGATCTTGGAGGAGGTGGATCCACTGAAAGTGAACGCAGGGCGACAGCTGCAGTGTTAGGATTATCGAATGAAACGCGCACAGAAAGGCTATGTTCACCAAATTCAAGTTCTTTTTCATTTAGGTTCATCTGGCTGTATAGAGCTAGGAAGTCTAAAAGATAAAACTACAACAGCACACGTACGGTACAGAATTTTTCGCTTCTTGAATTTCCCGTTCTATCTCACGGCGTACGGTCTCACTCAACTTCTACAACATTAGTTTAAGATATATTTGAGAATCACCTCTCGTTCGAGAGCCTGAGCGAGGTGAACACCGACAAATGCAGAAAGTGCAAAGACACAAGACACTCCCAAAGTTATTTTAGAAGCTGTTGACATGAAGTCTAAAAAATGTAATAACACAGTATAGTGTATTGATATGGAATACAGACAGGAAGTAAAGGCAAATATCTAACAAATGCTCATTAAAAGGAGACGCAGAAAACTCAAATAGTATTGTATCTCTGAGCAACGTCTTATTCACAAAATATAATCAGTGAATATAGGCAATACAGGATTTAATTATCTTCCTGGAAGACTCCATATAGACAAACTAAGAAAAATGCCTTACATGCACGAATACTTTAGAGTACATTCTAAGTGTTGGTATGATTCATTTTCCACACTTAAATACTCCAGGAGTATTTAAGCCAAGATACTGACGAAATGCTCTTGTCATAGAGAAATCCGATGAACTCAATGCATCATATGTGCTACTACTTCAGTAACGAGATATATTGATATTAGTGATGGATACCTTAGATTTACATCCGCCTAAAGCTTCAAAAGCTTGGCGTGCATTCAAACAGCTGAGCGTACTCAGTTATATTTACTCAACTCAGCTACTTTGGACACACTTCTAATGTAACAGGTTTGGAACATACTCATCACATGAAGCTGATGACTGTTTGCCTTTCCAAGCTCGGTTATGTGAAGAAGGAATCGAAATGGTGAACCACTGGCTGGAATTTCGGTATTAAGGGGGAAGACAAGGCACCCAGCATTATCGTATAAATACTGAATTTAATCAGTAAGATGTCTATAAATCTGGCATAAGGTTGTGAGAAAAATGACTTAAAACGGGTTAACAGAAAGGAACCGACAAAGAAACGTACTAGTGGATGTCTTAATGACCAGTCTTTTAGCTTATTCATAGTGCGTATGCATTACTGTCACTTCACCAGAGCATGAATCGAGGGCTGGGCTTGCACTCCACCCAACTAAAATACAAGATGACACACGAGGGCTAATATTCCCTAGCCCCCAGTTTATAAATGGGTGGCTATGTGAATGGATATGTCGACTAATATGAATATTTCTGTAGTCATTGACTTCGAAAAAGAACAGACAAGGACGGTTATGATTAATGGCAGCGCAAGAACTACATCCAAATACATAAATTCGACCGCTAACCTTGCGATTCCTTGACGAAAAGTAAGAATAAAATAGCTTCTGCATATCTCGTGACTTCCTACCAAAAGACCATTCCCATTTATGTACTACTAGAAAATATCCATTGCTAGAGCTCATTTTATATTGATTCTTGGTAATTTTAGTGACGTGATACACTTTGTCTGAAGTATATTGACCTAACCAAACGAACATTCGGGACGATAACTTTGTGAGAATTAACTAATTACACCAGACCATATAATTATACCGAATATCAGTAGCTTATACAATCAGTAGTTGTCTCCTACCATGTCTGGAGTTTCAGTATTAGCATACGTCAAGCTCTGTGCACAAAATTCTCGAGATGACAATATCTTGTCATTTTTTGACCCGTTTATCTCTACAATACTCCACTGAAATTAGTGCTCGTCTCATCCATAACTTCAACGGCGACTCTAAACTATAGCAGCCCATAACGAAACTACCTAATGAACGGACTAGTGACCTTGACGCATTTATTTACAGAAGTTCGAAGATCCCGAAACGGAAGCACCACACTGAATTGACAATTTGCTACACAAACGCCCGCAGTCTGTTGAACAAAAAGACAGAAATCCGGATGTAATCATCACAGAAGCATGGCCCACACCCGATGTCACTGACAACGAAGTTAACCTGCCATACTTCGAAGTGCATAGGGTGGACCGACTAAACCGCAAGGGAGGTGGTGTAGTCATCTACGTCAAGAAATGCTTAACCATGCGTAGCATCGAAGCACTCGCTCACGAAAGTGAGTCGTGCGAACTTCTAAGCTGCAGACTTAAATGCATAGGCCAAGACATTGACCTCATTGCAATATACCGCAGTCCTGAATGCAGTGCAGATGACTTCTTAATAGAGAAGCTAGGCTCCTGGACATCGAAATGTAGAAGTCTCGAAGTTGGCGACTTCAACGCCCCAACAGTTGACTGGACCAGCCTTTTAACTGCTAGAATCTAGTATATCGCTAGCCCTAGTCCAACATATCATTAAGCCCATGCGCTATGAATCAAGGCACTCCTCCTCAACTCTGGATGTGAGGATGTTGATCTCACATCTTTCACCTTTGGGAAGAAGTGATCGAATTTGCTCACTTTCAAATTCACAGCAGCAGCATCGTGGAACAAAACCCCAGCTGGACTGAAGAAATCTACTAAAAAGTATTGACATAGGCTCCAAGCCATCTATCCTCAACCAAAACATCTGAAATCAGAGAAATTGGTTTAACCTGACTTCTGGGACTACCGTGAGAAATCAGGACGTGTTTTTCGAACACACATAAGAATATTATCCTGTGTTGCATTACTGGTATAGAAACGTTTATATCAAATTGCGCGCTTCCACTCCTTACAAATCTGATCGGTCGCCAGTGGTGGTTTCGTTTTAGACTGCTATAGTTTAGAGTCACCACACCAATAATTAAGGTTGGTTTCATTTTTCCTGTAAATCCAGGTACGTAACAGAAAAACATAATCTCTAGACAACTGTACAAAACGACATGAAGCTTACCAACTAACAGCACATGAACAACGCACGTTTTCGATGAGCGCCAAACAGAACTTAACTTTACGGAACAACAATTCAATCCTCAATGCCTATTAACTGAATAACAACTATTATCCGTTCGGCATACAACATCCTATTCTTGAAAATTGTCTAAGAAATCCAGAATTCAGAATAAATAGTGACTACACAAGAAAGGAAGATGAGAACTTTATTACATCAGACGAATATATCGCATAGAGGATGCATTGACTTATTCAATTATTCCGAAAAATACGGTGACTAAAATTAGTTCCGACAACTGCATCATGCTTTAGTTCACCTTACAAAGATTTTAGCCACGGTTTTGATTTGTGCACATGCAGGATGGCTTACACGCAGTTCTGCGCTATTCTTTAGTGCTGTCAACACGCCCATTATATGAGTTTGTAATACATTCAAAATTCGTTGGATGAGTTCTATATCGCCTTCCATGAATAATCTCAACTTTTTATTTTACCCAAATATACTGCTCATCAGAGCACATTTTCAGTTAACTGAGTGTTTTCAGTTTGTATTTTGACATCAGTACTCACATTTTAGGCAAATTACTGATTTCAGATTGAGATTTGGATTTATTGGTTGAGGATAGAAGGCTTGCAGCCTATGTTAATAGTTTTCTAGTAGATTTCTGTGCTTGTCTAAACCTTTCTTGAATGAATCAGTTGAGGTTGTAGACATGACTTCTTATGGGAGTCGGTATGAGATCCAGCACTCAACAGCAATATGTTTTCTCCTTGACTTTTGAACTCCTCTACTATGTCTTCTAAAGTGTTCAGACCTGGTGGGAAACAAACGTGTGAATAGGTCGCATCCGTGGTCATTATTTAAAATTTTAAACATTGTGATTAAATCTCCTCTCTGCCTACGATACGACAGGGAGAAGATATTTAAACTGTCTAGTCATTCCCCGTATGATAAGCTAGTCATGCCGAGAACCATACGTGTTACCTTCCTTTGAATCCGTTCTAGAATGTGTGAGTCCCCTTTAAGATAAGGACTGGTGGCCTGGATACAGTTTTCTAGTCTTGACCTCATTAGAGATGTGTATAAGTAGGTGAACATATCTCTGGTGATTCTAGTAAAGGCTCTGCGAATTGCCCATCAGGATTTGAAACTGCGTGCAGCCACCGCACGACAGTGTGCTGTAGTTTTTACATCCTGGCTAACTGACACCTAAATCAAAATGAGTGTGAACTGATGGGAGAGTTGTTCCCTCTAGATCGTAGAAGCTGATGCTTGCTTGTCCGATGCGCATGGTTGCACATTTTGCTACATTGACCACGGGAATTCACTCTCTGGACCACTCTGACAATTTGTTGAGGTCCTCTTGCAACGTGGACGTATCACTGCTGCCCTTCAGCTCTCTCCAAATTTTTAAGTCATTTGCGTATAGGAGCATAGGGGAATCGGTGAGCAGAGATAACTCGTTGATATACAAAATAAATAAGGGAGGTCCGAGTACCATGCCTTATGGCACACCGCTACGCACTGCTGTCAAGGAGGGGAGTTTCGAGTTGATCCTAACCCTCTGTCTCCTACCAATGAGGAACTCCCTAATCCTGTGTAGTTAGGCAAAGTTCGCGCGTCCAAGATTGGTGCGGCACTACTAGTGTGGTGAGAGCTGTCTGTTAACCAAAATTGGTAGACAGCAATTTATGTCAATCTTTACGTCCCAAATCTTGGTCATGAGAAAAACAAGAACAAAGATTTAGCGTGGGTGGATACAATTCGCAGATATATGGTTTGATCTTCATAGAAACGGCTACAAAGAGGTGACAGATTAACTTACAGCGAGAAAACAACCAATCGGAAGACACTGTTTTCTGCTAATAATAACGAATAATAATGTTCATAAAAATATATAAATATCTCTTGATTTCCTCAATGAACTATCTGTTGCCTTGCCCTTGTCCTTTGGCGTTACACTAGCTCCTTAAAACGCTCTAAAGATGAATAGTTGGCAAAAACAACACTGGAAATTTCTACTCTGATTTCTTCGAGAAGGCATCCCATGAGGACAACTGTAAAGCAATTAGACAGCTGCTTCAACACTAGAGGTGTAGACCTTAATCAACCTTCATATGATGACGCCACATGCCTAGATATCCACAACGGGGGGGGGCTCAGCGAAGATCCCGACGTGAAGAGAAAGGCACATAACAGAGTCGACTTCATTTAGATTTCCCACATATGTAGTGATTGACTCTTCTTTTGGCTGTCTTTTCTGTCAGCTAATCAGTTTCGACTTCGAGTTTGTGCGATATGAAACACAAATCATCTGCAAAATCCAGATGTTCCCGGATCTTTTTATTGGTTCACAGTAAGGGCACTTTCAAGGATCTATCGCGTGGTCGAGTTCATCACAATGAGGGATATCTTAGGCGATAATAGTTAGTTCTCTCTTCATTTTAGACCCTCCGCTGAGTCCCCCGTTTTGAATTGCTAGGCATGTGGCGTCATCATATCAACGTTGATGTCTTTTATTTTCTTGAATGCACAAATATTGAGGTTTATTCTTTGAAAACTTGCAGTCATTAAAAGGACTCAACGTTATGAGGATCAGGAAGACATGGATTTTGAAGGCTCTGTCCAAGCATTTTTAGATTTGATTTAGTGCTTTTTCTGCTCTCATTAAATTGATGACCCCGAGGTCTGTCTTCTGCAGCCATCAGAAAAGTTTTCTTTCCGATTCTTCTTCTACCATTTCCGGAATTTTTTGACTTCAAGTCCTGCTAGGGATGCACAGTAACGTGATTTTGTACGGTCTATTCAACAAAGAAACCTAAAGCCACACAGAGGTAGTTAGTCATGATGGTGTTCAGAAGGACAAGATGAGTGAGTGTGTGTAAAATACGTCCTTTTTATAATTTATGAAGGTTCCTTTATCTGTTGAGTGATACTAAATAGTTAATGCCTCTCCACATATTTGACCATGTTTCCCCGCTCTAACTTCCCAGCACCATACTTTCAAAAGTCGAAGCTCAATCTTCACAAATTTCTCTTGCGAGAGTATGTGTTATCGACCGACAATTCGGATCGCTGTTTGAACAGAAGATTTAATCACTTCAATCTCATACCAGTTCCTCTGAAACCGAAATTCGCCTTTCTTCATAATTTGATGAGACAGTATTTATTCCTTGCACACATTCCTCAGTATTGGCTCCTTTTATTTGTAGGTTTGGTGCTGACTGCAGTATTTTGCCTGCTGGTGGTACTTCTGGACGAGTTACCCGATTCGATAGTATTTTGGATTTATCAGACCAATGTTCCCTCTGATTCACCCCGTACTAATTGGGCTCCGCTGTTTGATCTTCACTGGCTTCATTTGCCTTGATCGATTCCAGGATGGTTACCTGTCTACTTCATATGGCGTTGCGAATTCTTTCTCATATTTGAACAGGTCTGGTTCAGTTACCAGGGTGTCTTTTGTTTTCCTTAATCCCCCCTCACTTTGTTGATTGCTTGGAGATTACAGTCACTTTTCACTTTCATCTTCTGTTTCACCATTCTCCTTCCCTCCGTCAGCTTTCTGGTGTCCATGGTGAGAGATTCATTAAGCTGCCACTTCTTTTGTCCATACGTCTATAAATTATGCCTTCCTGTACGCGGATTCCGTTGATGGTGACACTTAATGTATCCAATTGTTTTCAGATGACTGGCGTGTGTGTCCCCTAGTTCCTGAGTTCTAAACTTGAATAATGGTTTGTCTCCAGCTTTTTTGAAGGATGTCAAACTCGTCTTGGATTTTCACTGCACTAGACGGTGGGATGTACTCATGTGTTTTACTCTTCTTAGTCCTGTTATAGTGAGATGTGTCTCCACTCTATTGATATTGAGATGAAGTCTCTATGCTTCGTTTTGTGCCCACCAGGTGAATGACTTAGAGCTCATATTCCTGACGGCCTCAGCTAGAGATGACGCTCATGAGTGATTTGTGTTAATGTTTCTCGCTAGACCTGGTCTTTCGACATAACTTGCTTACACTTAACCAGCTCACCAAGTAGTTTTTCATACCTACCCAATTAGTGACGGCTATTCAGAAATGCTTGTTGATATTCCTGTACATAGATTATGGGGATGCACAGTTACCTGACAACAAAGTGCTAGTCTTTTATCCTTTGTAGTCCAAATACAGAGAGGAAAGCGCACATTAGTAGAGTTATCTCACAAGTGTCGCGTGAAAATAAGAACGAAGACACAAAGTCAAAGATTACACCTACATCCAATCGTATTACAGGTGGGTGAGAGAGGCAGAGTCATCTTATTAGTCTCTCGTAGCGTCGTCTTGGGACACCAATGCATGCATGCCCCGCAGCTACCCTTGCCTTTCACCCTTGAAATTTGATCCCCTGGAAAGCACCTACATCAGCACAGATAAACAAGTCAACTGTTCATAAAGAAGTAGCGAAACCTGCATTATATCTATAACTTTCTTTGACTCTCCGGGTCTGGAAGGAATTAACCATCTTCATTCATTTCACTAAGAGCCTCTCCGACCATAGTATGTTCTTTCCCTTTACTCTCTGCTTCCACTCTGGTTTTGATGTCACCCGCTAGAATTTGGATTTCGCAATGTGTATGGATTCTTTCTCATTGCTGCATGCTGTTATCTGAAGAAGAGATCCTCCTCGAATGGGTCTGAATTGTATGTAGGTAGG